CATCACAGCATCTTCATATGTGTTATTACATGTTGTTCTCATTTGTTTCCCTCCCCTGCTGTCCTCCCCTCAAGTCCCCCCTTACTGCTTGCTTATTACATGTATTTTATTATCCTATCTCTCACCTCCCTTAAAATTTTTTTCTCTCCTCTCATTATCTCCTTTCTAGTTTTGTGACTTACATACTCACTTAACTATGCCTGCGTGTGGGCAGGCCAGAGAGTCATGTCAGGATGTGTTTCTTCTATCACGTCTCCATTTTTTTTTTTAAATTGTTTTTGAGACAAGTTTTTTTTTTTTTTAAGTTTTGCTATTTTCATTCAATATAATTGATGGTATTTAGATCCCCTCCCCTATCCACACCTCCCCTTAATGCCCCCACCCAATTTAATGTACCTCTTTTATATATATAATTAGGCCTCTAGAGTCTTAATTTTTGTCCCCAAATGTCCTTTAGTGGATCCTTCCATTGGAGCCTGGTTAACCTACTAAGAGTCCCATCCTTGAAAGAGACTGTGAGACATCTTTTTTTTTTTTTTGTCTTTTTGAGACAGGGTATCCCTGTAGCCCCAGGTGTCCTGGAACTCACTATGTAGACCAGGCTGGCCTTGAACTCACAGAGATCCACCTGCCTCTGCCTCCCAAGTGCTGGGATTAAAGGCATATGCCACAATGCCTGGCACCATTCCTTCTTTTTTTAAATATTTTTTTACTTATTATTTTTATTTTATGTGTATGAGTGTTATGCCTGCATGTAGTTAAGTGCACCCGTGTCCTGCAATGCCAGTGGAGGATGGAAGAGGCTGTTGGATCCCCTGGAACTGGAGTTATGGGCAGTTGTTAGCTGCCATGTGGGTTCTGGGATTTGAACCCAGGTCTTCTGTAAGAACAGTCAGTGTTCTTAACCGCTGAGCCATCTCTCCAGCCCCCCCCCCCCTTTCTTTAGACATGGTCTCATTGTTGTAGCCCCCCCGACCTAGAACTCACTATGTAGACCAGGCTGGCCTTGAACTCACAGAGATCCCCTTGTCTCTGCCTCCCAAGTGCTGGGACTGAAGGTGTGTACCACCACAACCGGCCTGTACTTTTCAAATGTAAGTTTTTCAAAGGTTTCTTTGAAGGGCTGTGAGGTGACCATTTCAGATTTAATAACAGTATTTTGTCAGTAACCTCAAAAATCCCAGCCAGGAAGGATCCTTTTTTCCCCATGTGGTCATCTTAAGGAAGGCCTGATGTAAGAGGATGCACTTTAGAAATCTTGAAAACAAGTTTGTGAATGGTCTACTAAAGACACTGCTTCTGATATGGATGGCCTCATTCAGTGTGTGCTCTACTAGTTTTATATCTTCAAAGTCACCCTTTATGATGAGGAGCTTGTTTGTCCTTGTTTCAAATGCTGCCTGATTTCTCCTAACAGATCTGCATCTGTAATCTTTCTTCAGCTTTCACAGCTCCAAAATGATTCTGGATTCTGATTTGGGACATCAGTTCATTTAGTCGACCCTTGAACTGAGTAGGTGCATTTAGTTCACATTGAATCTAGCTGAACCTGTAACTGTTCTTCATCAGCCTGTATAGTGTAGCCACTGCCCCCATCATCACCACACATATACAGAAATAAATGAATGTAAAAAACATTTTTTTTAAGGCAGCAATGTCTAAGTCTCAGCGTGGGCATTGAGGGTTATTATTTATATCTTTAAAAAATCATTTAATGAGTGTGTGTATGTTGTGTACTCTGCACTTCCACTATGTGAATACTAGGGATCAAATTCAAGTCGCCAGATTTGGTGGCTGGCACCTTTACCTGCTGATCCATTTCCTTGACCCAAAATTTAAATTTAATAACTACACACACATGGGCCTGGAGAGGTGGCTCAGTGGTTAAGAGCACTGGCTGCTCTTGCAGGGGACCTAGGTTTGGTTCCCAGCACCCACATGGTAGCTAATAGCAGTCCGTAACTTCAGTTCCAGAGAACCCGATGCCCTTTTCTGGCCTCCAGAGGCATTGCATGACAGGGGTATACTTATGTACATGTAGGTAATATCCTCACACACATAAAATATGTATTTTTTTTTTAATGCACACACATAGCCAGGAGTGGTGGCACACGCCTTTAATCCCAGCGCTTGGGAGGCAGAGGCAGGAAAATCTCTGTGAGTTCAAGGCCAGCCTGGTCTACCTAGTGAGTTCCAGGACAGCTGGGGCTACAGGGAGACCCTATCTCAAAAAAGACAAAAAAGACAAAAAAAAAAAAATACACATATGTATACATACATACACCATGAAGGGGTAGAAGAAATTAGAAAGAAAAACTATTTCCACCTTACAATAATAAATTCATATAGAGATAATGGCTTTTTCATACCTGCCATGTATAACCCCTGTTCTCAGGAATCTACTATATGCTACAGTACTTCAGCAAAATGAGAGAATAACCCAAGGAAAAAGTACAGAAACAGAAGTTCCAACACAGGTAAAAGAAAATTCAAAGCTATGTGTGGTGGCACACATCTGTAATCCTAGCACTTGGAAGAATATAGTAGAAATTATTACAAGTTCAAGGCCAGCCTGGTCAACACAGTGAGACTGTTTCAACAAAAAGACAAAAATCTCAAAAGAAAATTGTTCAAAGGCAAAACAGTGTGAAATGGCTCTTAAGGGAGAAGACAAAAGGCACTAGACAGTATTTCCCGAAGAAGGCAGCTTTGATTTATAGAAAGAAATTTTAAAATTTGATAAAGCCTGGGCTAAAAAAGGACATGCAAAGGGAAAGAATGTGCGTAAGGTGTGGTGCGACTGAATCAAACCTTATCTTCCAGTGGAGGCAATGGAGGGAGGGTGCTGATGAGAAGGCTCAAAGTTCTCTCCCTCTTTCTCGCTCCCTCTCTCCCATGCCCCTTTCCCTAAGTCTCTCTCAAATCTCTCAGTCTTTCTCTCTTTACCGCTCCCTCTACCTTCCCCCTCAGTCTCCTCCTCCCACTCCAGGGTATCACTATATAGCCCAGGCTGGCCTCCAATTCTCCATCCTCTTGCCTCAGTCTCTCTTATACTGGGAGTGCTAGCATTAAAGGCAGATGCCAACAAGCTCACTGGCTTTTGTATTTTGAAAAATCCTCAAAATCAGAAAATCTGAAAGGCATATGGCAGGAAACTGCTAGCTGCCTTGTTTATGTATACATGTGTGCTTAGAATTATCTATGTGTCTATGCAATATATACATTCACAGGTATAATTATCTAACAACATATATGTGCACAGATTACTCTGACCAAAATATTCTTCTCAAAGTGAAATTAGAATGTTTGTATATGTCATTGCCTAGTTTTGCTTTGTTGAGACGGGTTTCATGTAGCGCAGCCTGGGCTAGAACATGCTATGTGGCCAAAGATGACCTTTAACTTCTGATCCTCCTGCCTCCACCTCCCTTGGATTTCAAGTATACAGGCTCATACCCTGTTAATGGGTGCTGGTAATCCAATCCAGGGCTTCCTATAGGCTAGGCAAGCACTCTACCAACTGTGCTATATCCCCCGTCCCTCCACCACCCACTTTTTTCCCCCCTTGGAGACAGGGTCTTGGTATATACCCAGGCTGGCCTGGCACTCACTATGTACACTACGCTGGCCTTGAACTCCGAGGAAACTCATGGATCTTTCTCACAGACCTTTACAGGTCCTAATCAAACAAAATTCAAAGGAAAAACAGATGTGTGCCACCATAGTCAGCTTTCCTGTGGAATTTGTATTGGACCCAGGGCCTTGAATTTGCTAAGCAATCACTTTCCTACTGAGCTACAGTCCTAGACTTTAATATGTCTTTAGAATTGTCTTTTTTTGTTTTTGGAGACAAGGTCTCATGTATCTCAGGCTGGGCTTGAACCTGTTATGTGACTGAGGATAACCTTGAACTTCTAATCTTCTTGCCTCTATCTCCCAAGTGCTGGGATTATAGATGCTTATCTAAATGCCCTGTTTTTTGCAGTGCTGGGGATTGAACCCAGGGTTTTATGAATTCTAGGCAAGCACTCTACCAACTGAACTATGTCGTTAGCTCCTGTGTTGCTCACTTACGCCAGCCCCCAGCTCACAATGCATTTGCCTTGGCTTTCTGAGGAATTGGGATATAGATGTGTATCATTACACTTGGCTTAGAATATTTTGTGTGTGTGGTGTGTATGCACATGGGTATACAAGTCTTCATGCTTTTGTGTGTGGTGCTTGTATGGAGGCCAGAGGTTGATGTTAGGTGCCTTAGTCTTTTGCTCCTCACCTTATTTTTTGAGACATGTTCTCCTACTGAATGAACATGGAGCTTGATAACTGGCCGCACTGACCAGCCAACAAGCCCCAGGGATCATCTTGTCTTTGCCTTGCGTTGCTAGGATCACGGGTGTGACTCACACATGTGCATTCATTTACTCTACTGTGTTTAATGGAAATGTTTTATTTTAATAAACTTTTGGCTTTGAGGAGTAGTTTGCTATAAGGCTATGCTACTTGACTCCCGATATCACATTACTTCTTTTTTAAAAATTAAAAAAAATTTAATTTTAATAATTAAATATTTTATTTATTTTATGTGTATGCATATATTGCCTGCATGTAGGTATGTGCACCCATGTTTCGCAATGCCCGTGGAGGTCAGAAGAGGCTGTCGGAATCCCAGGGACTAGAGTAATGGACGGTTGTTAGCTGCCATGTGGGTGCTGGGATTTGAACCCGGGTCTTCTGCAAGAACAGTGTTCTTAACCACTGAGCCATCTCTCCAGCCCCAGATTACTTCTTTTTAAAATGGAAAGTCATACAATTATCTCATCGCAAATTCAGACTCTCTTATTACCCAGTGCAGCAAAGATTAAGTGCCATTTGGTAAAATAGTCTGATAAATAGAGGAGTGCGATTGGAAGGAAAGTACTTGTGTAGAGAATGAATTGACTAGTTTTGTGTGATATTTTTGCTATATGTGAAGTAATGGATTTTTTTGGATGTAATTATAGGATGATTTTTCAGGATTGTCACCATATGAGAGGAAAAGATTGAAGAATATCAGAGAAAATGCAAACTTTTTTGCTTCTCTTCAGTTATCTGAGGTTTGTATGAGGTTTGTAATTAAAACCAAGAAGGCATTCCTCTTGCTATTTGGTTGATGAAATAATTAGATTATCAGTTTTCATGGTGTCAAAGGAGGAAAGGCAAAATTCAAGCCAGATTTGGCGTAAAGTCTTTTAAAAAAATATGCGTCTCGTTAAAATACCTTTGCAAGCCAGATGTGATGGTACATGCTGTAATCCCTGAATTTCAGAGGCAGAGGATGGAGGATTAGTAGTTCAAGGACATCCTCAGCTACATAGTAAGGTTGAGGCCAAGCTGGGCTACCTGAGAGCCTGCATCAAACAACAGCAGCAGTAAAATAAATGCACAAAGCACTTTGGAAAGTACATTAACTGAAAGGTTCCCAGTGGGGTTTAATATGTAACTCATTGAAAGAACATTGTAGAGGATGATTCTGAAGAATTATGTTCTGATTCATGCTTCCTCCCCTCCTCCCTTTTGTTTTGCTGTGCTGGGGATCAAATCTAGAGCCTTGGGGCTGGAGAGATGGGTCAGCGGTTAAGAACACTTGTTGTTCTTGCAGAAGACCCAGGTTTGAATCCCAGCACCCCCATGGCAGCTAACAACTGTCTGTAACTCTAGTCCTAGGGGATCTGACAGTCTCTTCTGTCCTCCGCGGGCATTGCACAACATGGGTGCACTTACCTACATGTAGGCAGTACACACATACACATTTTAAAAAAAAAAATCTAGAGCCTTGTACGTGCTAGATAAACTTTACCACTGAGCTGCATCCCCATCTTGCAGAGGATCCAGGTTTGGTTCCCAGCACCCATGTGATAGCTCATAGTCATCTATAACTCCAGTTCTAGGGATCCTACACCCTCTCTGGCCTCCATGGGTACTGTACACACAGTGCAGTTACATATAGTATGTAGGCAAAACACACAAAAAAAGCATAGTTGTTTAGGAGAGTATTATTTCACTTTATTCTATAACAAGGTATAAAAAACTTGGCTTTACTAAATGATTTATTTCTCTGAATACCAGATTCCCAAATATTCCGTATAATTCTGTACCCAGAGCAAGGTAACTGAAGGATTAAGTTAAGTCACTAACAATTAAAAATCCTTCAGAAATTCGCACATTCTAAAAAGAACAAGAAAAGAAGAAAACAAAAATCCAGATGCAGTGGCACATTGTTGAACTTGGGGGGTAGCAGCAGGAAGATCAGTTCAAGGCCAGCCTGGGCTACATGAGACCCTGTCTCATTTCAAAAAAAAAAAATCACAAAAGGAAGAAAGTGTGCACAGTTGCTTATGGTTTTAGTTAACCAAAATTTTTGTAATTTTAGTTACAAAAAAATATAGCCTATAACTTTCTAGAAAGCTGAAATAGGTTTCCAAAAGTATAGATTGGAATTTTACAATTAGTAATGTTATATGTATAGGAGTTTATGTGTACGTGTATGGGCATATCTTATTTTAAACCTTTAAATTTTATTTTTGAGTGTGTATATGTGCATGGGTATTCATGCATGCTCTGGCATATGTGTAGATGTCAGAGGACAACTTTCAGGAGTTGATTCTCTCCTTTCACCATGTGGGTTCCAATAATCAAGCTCAGCATCAGGTTTGGTGGTAAGTGCTTTTACAGGCTGAGCCATCTTATTGGCCCTTATTTTGTTTTTTTGAGACAGTATTGCTGTCCAAGGCCCAAACTGGCCTTGAACTTATTACAGTTGTCTTATGTCAGCCTTCTGAATGTTAGGATTATAGTTGGTTTGAGTCACCTCACTGAGCTTATTAGTTTTATAAATTTATTTTTGCTGTGCTGTGGATAAACCCAAACCTGTGCATACTAGGCAAATGCTCTACTAATGAACTACACTATCATCCCTGTAATAGTATTCAGTTAAATACTGCATTTAATCATGTAAGCTCATTTACAACTTTATTCAAGATAGCAGAATGCCAGTATACTAGATGGTATTACATATTACATACTTGCCTTTATTGTTGATAGTATTTTTTTTTGTTTGTTTTTTTTTGTTTTTGTTTTTTTTGAGACAAGGTCTCCCTGTAGCCCCAGCTGTCCTGGAACTCACTTTGTAGACCAGGCTGGCCTTGAACTCACAGAGATGCGCCTGCCTCTTGCCTCTCGAGTGCTGGGATTAAAGGTGTGAGCCACTACGCCCAGCTAATAGTATTTTAAAATATTTTATTTATTATTTTTATGTGTATGTGAGTATGTGTATTACCTGCATGTAGGTAAGTGCACCCATGTTGTGCAATGCCTGTGGAAGACAGAAGAGGCTGTCGGATCCCCTGGAACTGGAGTTACAGACAGTTGTTAGCTGCCATGTGGGAGCTGGGATTCGAACCCGGGTCTTCTGCAAGACCAGCTGGTGTTCTTAACTGCTGAGCCACATCTGCAGCCCCATTGATAGTATATTTATCTCATGCTTAGTACCAAGAAAAGGTATCCAATCGTAAGATCTGTATTTGCTAAATAGACCTGAGTATAGTAGCAGATACTAATATTTTAACAGGTAAGCATTGGGATTATATGGTAACATTTTTATGTGTATGTATATTGTGTGTTTTTCAGTCAGCTACAAGGCTCCGTGAAATGATAAAGAAGAGACAGCCTACTGAATCCAAGAGGTAAAAGATATGGTTAACATTGGCTAGACCATGATATTTTCCTGAAGTTTTAAAATCTGAGACAGTGTTTCAGGTTGGCCTCAAACTCCTGAAGAGCTGGGATTATAGCCACTATACCTGGCTTCCAATTTTTTTTTTTTTTTTTTTTGGTCTTTTTTGAGACAGGGTTTCCCTGTAGCCCCAGCTGTCCTGGAACTTGCTATGTAGACCAGGCTGGCCTTGATCTCACAGAGATCTTCCTGCCTCTGCCTCCCGAGTGCTGGGATTAAAGGCATGAGCCACCATGCCTGGCCCAGCAAGGGTTCTTTATTTATTATTTATTTATTCGTGGTGTTAAAAATTGATCCCAGTGACTGGAGAGAATGCTCAGAGGTTAAGAGCTCTGACTGCTCTTGCAGAGGACCAGAGTTTGATTCCCAGCTTCTACCATTTGTAACTTTAGTTCCAGGGGAATGTGACACCCTCTTCTGACCTCTGCGGGTATTGCATGACACAGATGCACTTAAGCACATGCAGTCTCAAACACATAAAATAAAAATAATAAGCCAAGGCTGGGTGTGGTGGCGCATGCCTTTAATCCCAGCACTTGGGAGGCAGAGGCAGGTGGATCTCTGTGAGTTCAAGGCCAGCCTGGTCTACACAGCGAATCCAGGCCAGCTGCGGCTACAGGGAGACCCTGCCTCAAAAAGAAACAAAAATAAAAAAAATAAAACATTGAAAAAAAGAAATTGATGCCAAACCTTGAGCACATTAGGTTAACACTGTACCACTGAACTGTATCCAAAGCAGATTTAACCTTTTAAAAAGAATTATTTGAGCCAGTTGTGGTGGCACATGCCTTTAATCTCAGTACTTGGGAGGTAGAGGCAGGTGGATCTCTGTGAGTTCAAGGCCAGCCTGGTCTACATAGTGAGTTCCAGGACAGCTGGAGCTGTAGAGAGGCCCTGTCTCAAAAAGTCCAAAAAAAAAAAGAATTGTTCATTGTATATATAAAAGCGGTACATATATTTGTGCAGTTGAAAACTGTAGTAATAATGATTTTCCTTCCTTGGTGTCCTAAGTTCTGGAATTAACAGGGTTGTACCACCTTGCCCCCTAGTTTATTAATGCGTTCACCGGCCAGTTGAGTTACCAATTGAAGAGTGCTTTTCTGAGCACTTTTTTTGTGCATGGTTGCTAGGGTTGAAACCAGGAACTTCACACATGATAAACAAGTGTTTTACCATTGAGCTATGTTCCAGCCTGTGCTCTGAACACATTCCTAGATGGTATCGCCTTAATTTTGCTAAGTACATTTTATTGTTTTTTGAGAATAACATGAATTTTTTCTTTCTCTACTCTTTAGAAAGAGGCCTAGGAAGAAAGAAAATGAGATTGGATGTCGAAGGTCCATGCGGTTGCTGAAAGTAGATCCTTTAGGAGTTTCGTTACCAGAAATTCCAGCACAGCTGGCATTAATAGAAGAGGAAAAGGTAGGAAAAAGTACAATACATTAGCTTAGTAAAGTATCGGAAACTATTTATTTATTTTTTAGTCTTTTTGAGACAGGGTCTCCCTGTAGCCCCAGCTGGTCTAGAACTCACTTGTGTAGACCAGGCCAGCCTTGAAATCACAGAGATCTGCCTGCGTCTGCCTCTGCAGTGCTGGGACTAAAGGTGTGTACCACCATGCCCAGCTAGACCAATGGTCCTTATATTTTACTTCAATTTTATTAATTTAATATTTGGATGTTGTTTGACTTAAGATTTCAAAGTTGTAAAGACTGGATTATATTCTGTATTACTGCAGGAAATGAAACTGGGATTGTGGGTGAATTATTTACCCTTTCTAAATTTAAGTTTCCCCATTTAAAAAATAGTGTGGTGGCACACACCTTTAATCCCAGGCAGATTTCTGTGAGATTGAGGCCAGCCTGGTCTTCATAGGGAGTTCCAGGCAAGCTGGGGCTACAGGGAGACCTGTCTCAAAGACAAAACAAAAAAGTCCAAACAAAAACAAAAGAAAAACCAGAAAATAGTGTGGGTGGCTCATGTGTATTATCTCAGAACTTAGGAGGCTGAGGTAGAAGGACAGCTGGACTATAGTTTCAGACTAGCCTGGACTAGAGAGTAAGACCCTGGCTGTGTTTAAAAAAAAAAAAAGAAGGCTGGAGAGAAGGCTCAGTTGGTTATATTAGTGTATTAGTCACTTTTCTGTTGCTGTGATACAAACACTGACCCAAGTAATTTATAGAAGGAAGAGTTTATTTGAGCTTATGGTTCCAGGGGAATTACAGTCCATCATGGCAGGGAGGCATGGTGGCTGGAGGTGGCTGGAGCAGGAGCAGTAGAATTGAAGCTCTCATATCATCACACAGGCACAGGAAGCAAGAGGGTGACTGGAGATCTGGCAAGGCTTAAGAACTCTCTAAGCCCACCCCCAGTGATGTGCTTCCTCCAGGATAGCCACACCTTCTAAAACCTCCCAAAACAGCACCACCATGTGGGGACAAAATGTCCAAATACCTGGAGCCTATGGGGGACATTCTTATTCAAACTATCACAGTGGTTAAGAGTACTGACTGCTCTTGCAGAGGACCTGGGTTTGATTCCCAGCACCCACATGGCAGTTAACAACCATCCATGTCTGTCTTCTGTCCTCCATGGGCATTGCACAACACAGGTGTACTTACACACATGTAAGCAATATACTCATACACATAAAAATAAAATAATAAAGAAAAGGGAAAACCATTTAGTTTTGAGGATGAAATTAAATAGAATTTATAAAGTTCTTTATAGTATATGAAGGGTTTAGTAAGTAATTGATAAGTGGTAGCTGTAATAATGTATAATAAATGATAAGCTGATGTGGATGTGCCAGAGAGAGATGGCTCAGTGGGTAAAGTCCTTGCCACACAAATGTTAGGACCTGAGTTCAAATCCCCAGAACCACATGACTGACTAGTGCCAGTGCTTCTGTAATGAGGTGGGAGGCACAGAACCCCAGGAAGCTGATAGGCCAGCTAGCCTGGTATGCAGCAGCAAACAGTAAAGAAGCCTCACTTCAGAATAAGGTTGAAGGTGGGGATTAGCACCAGAGGCTGTCCTCTGACTGCTACACGAGAGTTGTGACTTTCCTGCACCCACACTCACATACATGAACACATGTTACATACCCACATGCGTCACTCATACAGTGATGAGGCTCCCTCCCTGTAGTTTATTTTTGAGACAGGGTCTCATAACCCAGGCTGGTTTTAAACTTCCTATGAAGCTAAGGATGTAAGACCGTAAGACCCTATTCCTCCTGCCTCAGTCTCCCAGGTGTTGAGATTACATGCATGAGCCATCAAGTCAGTCTTGTAGTTTAATTTAAAATACCTTGTAATTTTTATGTGTATGAGTGTATTGCCTGCATGTGTGTAAGTGCACCGATGTTGTGCAGTGCCTGCAGAGTCAGAAGAGGGTGTTGGATTCCCCAGAACTGGAGTTATGTATGGTTGTTGGCTACCAGGTGCCAGGAATTGAACCTGGGTCCTCTGTAAGAGCAGCCAGTGCTCTTAACCACTGAGCCATCTCTCCAACCCCTGTAGTTAATTTTAAAGTGAGAAGGAAAAGTTTTTTTAAAACTTTATTTATTTTTATTTTATATGTATGAGTGTATTGCTTGCATGTTTTGTCTTGTTTTTTTTGAGACAGGTCTCCCTGTAGCCCCAGCTGGCCTGGATTCGCTAGGGAGACCAGGCTGGCCTTGAACTCACAGAGATCCACCTGCCTCTGCCTCCTGAGTGCTGAGATTAAAGGTATGTGCCACCACGCCAGGCCTGTATTGCTTGCATGTGTGCAGTGCCCACAGCATCAGAAGAGGATGTCAGATCCCCTGGAGCTGGAGTTAGAGATGGTTGTTAGCTATTATGTGGGCTGGGAATTTAACCTTCATCCTCTGCAAGAGCAGCCAGTGCTCTTAACTGCTCAGCCATTACTCTAGCCTCAGGAATAGGAAAAGTTTTATACATCACATTTATTCTCTTAAAGATTCTAAAATGCTTTTTATTCATGAGCACCTATTTCTAGTTTATATCTAAGTGCTTAATTATAAGTTGGAAGATAGTACTGTTTTGCTTGGTGCTTTGGGAACTAATTACCAATCAGGGTGTTATGGAAGTTAAATAGCTTCTAAAAGGTTTTGGAATCTTCTTTTCTCAACCTCTCAAGTGCTGAGATTATAGGTATTTGCCACCATATCCAGCTTTTCTGGTTCTTTGAACTTCGAAGCCTAGTATGAAATATGTTTTGCATTGCAACTCATCGCACAGACATTCTGAAACAATTTTTTGAAATAAGGTACCTCATTTTATTAATATATATTTTAACTGACATAACTATCATATATTTATAGGATACATTGTGGCTTGTTTTTTAATGTTTAAAATTACATTTTATTTTGTGTGGGGGGGCGGGTATGTGAGGGTACATACCACAACATGTATGTAACCAGAGGAAAACTTGGAGTTGGTTCTCTTGTTCTACCATGTGAGTCCTGGGGCTTGACACTCACACATATAAAGAGCTCAGATCGGACTGGGTGTGGTGGTGTATGCCTTTAATCCCAGCACTTGGGAGGCAGAGGCAGGTGGATCTTTGTGAAGCCAGCCTGGTCTACATAGTGAGTTCCAGGACAGTTGGGACTACAGGGAGACTCTGTCTCAAAAAGACAAAAAAAAAAACAAAAAACAAAACAAAAAAAACCTCAGATCTTCAGGCTTGGTGGCAAGCCCCTTTACTCAGTGAGCAATCTCACTGGCACCACTGTACCATTTTATTGTTTTTGAAACAGTCTCACTATGTAGCCCTGGCTGGTCTGTAATTCATTGTGTAGACCAGGATGGCCTTGAACTCACAGAAATCCTCCTGTCTCTGCCTCCCTAGTACTGGGATTAAAGGTATGCATCACCATACTTGACCCGTAGGTGCATGTGCTGTGGTTATCAGATTAAGGAATTGCGTTGTGCATCACTTTAGACAGATACCATTTCTTTGTATCGAGGACCCTGAAAACCTTTAAACTGGAGAGATTGGCTCAGTGGTAGGATATTTGCCTTTCGTGTAGCTCTTATGCAAAGGCCCTGGGTTTGATTCCATTACCCAGCTTACTACCACAACAAAAACCTTCCTTATCAGTCCTATCCCAGACCCTTGGGAGGCTGAAGAAGGAAGATCACTTGAGTCCACAAATTCAAGACTAGCCAGGACAACCTAGTGAAATCCCTATTTCAGGAAAAAAAAAAATCCAAATAACCTTCCTATCCATTATCTATTATATTTTGAAATCTTTAGTTGCCAACTATAATTCTCCTACTGTGGCATAAAATGTCAGAAAGTATTCCTTTGACCAGATGCGATGGCATATGCCTGTAATCCCACATAATTGGGAGGCTGAGACAGGAGGTTTGAAAGTTTGAGGCCTATCTGGGCTACATAGCAAGTTCAAGCCTAGCTTGAGCAACTTAGTGGGACTCTGTCTGTAACTAAAATCAATGGAGGGTGCGTAGGCTAAGGCTTAATGGTATATTACTTGCCTAGCAGATGTCAGGCCCCTGGGTTCCATCTGTAGCAGTGGGAAAAAAATTATTTTGTGTGTGCTTGAATGTATGTGTATGTGTGTTGCTGTTAGAGGACAACTTGGTTCTCTCCTTCCACAATGTATGTTTTGGGGATTAAACTTGAGCCATCAGACTTGGTGGCAAGGTACTTTACCTGCTGAACCATCTCACTGGCCCCTGTTTTTTCTCAGTTGCAGGTATACCTCTTAATGATCTTCTGTTTCTTTGGTCACACTCTTCTCGGGCTCTGTAACCTTTATTCTAGGCTCTGTAATCTTTAGTCTGTTTGATGCCAACTTTAGATTGCACATGTAAGAACATGCAGTTTTGTTTTACTGCACCTGATTCAGTTCACTTAGCATAATAGCCTGCAGTTTTATCCACATTGCTTCAGAGGACAGGATTCTGTCTTGGTTTTTTTTTTTTTTTTTTTTTTTTTTTTTTTTTTTTTTAAAAAAAAAAAAAAAAGAGGACGATAAATCTTTCACTGTGATATATCAAAATAA